AATACGTGTCGGGCATGTTGTGTTCGCCAGTGTGCGTAGTTGGGTAACGTGGAGGCAGTGTAACATACAGGCTTACTGGGGGACAGATGAGCGTCAACGAATCTCTCGACCATTACAAAGATTACGTTTGTGTGCGTAATGGTCATCATTGTCTCATGACCAGTTGGTGTTCTTTAACACGTTCAGCACGAACATAGACTGGGGACACAGATTGGTAACACACTTCACGAGAGGTTCAGAACCTAGGATAGTGCACGTCAGTGTAAGTAGTAGGAGATGTGGCCACTTGAGGGGAAACACGCCGGATATGAACTTCATGCAGGTCTTAAGGCGGGTCGATGTTGGTTAGAGTCACTTAGACGATGTCCACTATGTAGTGGTTCGAGCGAGCTCTAGATGATTGAAATTTCGTTTAGCACCTGTTAGTGCGAGCACACACCGAAAGGTGACCGAGTATGAAGGCACGTGCACACGGCAAGCTTTATAGAAGTTAAGTCGTGCAGGTGTAATTTTGCTGAATTTCTTCAAGGGGGTGGTTGACACATGCTAGTCCAAGCACTCATAGAGAGGCAAGTTAAGTGACCAGCAGCGCCATTCTCAGATGCGCCCGTCTCCCACACCGTATTTTAACGGGAATTAGTGAGGGGATTGTTTTAGGGTGGAAATGGCACGATCAAAGGGTGGTTTAATAAAGGTGTCAGAATAAATTGGTGCAGTGGGTTTCCCATGCAGCCGCTGATTTCGAGAACAAAGTGCACCGAGTGTACCGAGTGGATAATATATGGTAACAAGGTACGGGAACTACGTTTAGATAAGGGAGTATGCAACGATGCTACATCTGTAAACTGTGACGGATTGGGAAGGTTGAAGTTCCTAGTGAACTAGTTCTCAGTGAATTTTACTGGTGATATTCCTGGCGACCGGATAGAGAATTATCAGATCGGGACAGGGAGCCGAGCCGTGTCAAAGGTCATGGGGAATGTAACAAGGCCATTGGTCAACGTCGACTCTACGGTAATAGAGCAAAGAAGAAGTCGCCAATCATTGACTTGGAGGATTGTTCCAAAGCTAACAAGGAGTCATTAAGCGCTCAAGTGGAAATGAACGACCCGCAGTCACTTTTGTTTGCTGTCAGTAGGTGAAAATATGCATTCGAGACCCAGGGAGTGTAGAGAAGAAAACGGTGGCGCTCGAATCTAGTATAAAGTGAGAACATCTCAAACAGCTGAAGAACGAGCCATTCATCGTGTGAAAGGACGTGTGTGGACATAGACGAGGTTGAAGCAAAATCTTTTCAGAAGGTAATCTATGGGTCTGGTACCGTGAGACCGGAAATCCTGGCCTCGGCGATCACTCGTACAAGTTCCACGTGACAAAGGAAAGATCGGCGAGAGAGGTGTACATATGTACATGGGCAGAGGATCAGAAAGGACTCAATCGAAGTAGTCTTCTTTTCGGGGTGATAATCACAGGTTTAGGCAGGGAAAAGCGACTGTTGTACTCAAATTGCGATCAAGAGCTCCAAGCTTGAATCAAGCACGTGGGGCAGATTAAGAATGGGGAGGTATAGATACTTTAGGTTAGGAAAATAGGTTGGACGAAAGGCTTGTACGAGAAAGATTTTAAGTGGTCATGTCTCCCTCACGGAGCAATTCCCGAGCAATCTTGAGGAGGTTTCGGTGGTCAGCTATGTGTTACGGGAGGGACAAAGGTCCCAGGCAACCCCTTTGCAATGGGTAACGCTTTCCTGAAGTTCCGGTGGAAACTGAAGCTTAGAGAAAGAAAAATGTTCAAGGGGTGTGCTATCTCTCCGAGTCATGCGGCCGAAACAGAGGGCAGAAGAATGATTAAGTTAGGGTGGTAAGGTAAGGATTGTAACCCGACACTACTTGCGAAAGCAAACCAGTATGGTAGTCAGGGAAACCCGCAGTTTGGTTTCAATGTGGGGTAGGCGGTGAAGGTATATATGCAGGTGTCGTCAAGGGTATATGTAGCACCTTGTGGGCATAGACCGGGGTCAGGGCCCAGGAAACATCAAGTCCTTTCAAATATCGGCAAGTGTGCCGCAGAGCGATACGAGGATACTTTCCTGTTATCATATTGAAATTATCATCAACGGGAAAAGGGAGCAGTTGGAATTGCTCCAAAGAGAGTTAACAACAAGAGTGGGGGTAGACTATGCGGGTGACCTAGAGCCGGTTCCTGACATATCAGAAAGGACTCGTATTACTCTTCCATCTGCGTTAGAGGATTGACCTGCAGTGCACGACAAAGATACCTTCCGATTTGGAAGACAACGAGGTAGTTGTTCTAGAGGGTGCACAGTTTGGGGTAATTTGAAGAAGGAAAGTGAATCGTTTCAGTAGCTCGAGATATCATTGTGAAACAGACGCATATCTGAAAAGTTTTGCGTAGAATGGCAAGGGTATACGACTCCAACACTCAAGGGAAGATTTTTCACAGCTATGGTCGGGTATGTACGGATGTATGGTCGCGAGATTAGCACACGAAAGTGCTTAGGTACTCGAATGTTAAGGAGAGCGCTGAACGTGGTACGGGAGAATCATGGGAGGAACTCAGGTTCTTATAGAGACTCCACGGTCGGTCGGATAAGATAAGGATAAGAAGTACTGGGCTCGATGGATACTACGGGGAACACTCAGGCCGAGCCGATGGCATGCGAAGTAGTATTATGGGAACCAACCCATAGCAAATGCATCTTTGTCAGACAGCGCACAACATTTGGGAATATTAAGATCCTGAAGAAAGAGGTTGGCCTCAGTCCATTCGGTCGAAAGAAAGATGAACAGTACAATGGGATCTATCGCCTCATGTCTGACATAGGATATTTGAGACGGTCTGTTGAAAGGAGAATACGCCTTGTGGTATAGAGGAGATATTAGTGTGGGAATGAGTATGGGGTTTTGAGTAAAGAGGTGACAGGAAAAGGTGGATATGAGATGGGATAGACGGAAGAGAGGAGCGACGTAGGCACTGCTCCATAACTCATTAAGGATGATCCAGTGATTACGCAGTGTGAATAGTATACTTTTCTCACTGCTTAATTATTGGATCAATCCGCCAATGACGTCATCACACCCCATATAAGGGGCTGATAGCCCATTCACTCTGTGCATTTACTGGAAACATCCGCCCTCCGGGGAGTGCGGTGGAGACAGGTCCCTGAAGCAGTGAGCGGGAGGACGGTCGAAGCCAGCTTGAACACAGCAGGCACTTTTGATTCCCCCCCACACCCCACCCTGATAATAATAAGTGGATATGAAGGGACTTGTTTCCATCGCGCGACTCCGGCACTGCTCCATAACTCATTAAGGATGATCCAGTGATTACGCAGTGTGAATAGTATACTGTGCCATCACTTTATTCACACCAACACACAGGCCGGCGAGCCTCATCGGCTCGCATACATATTCTTTTTTTTTTTTGCAACGCAAACATTCGTACTCAAGTCGATTGACGTTCCTTTGTCGTTATACAAATCGTTTCCATATACATGTATAAATCTTGACCAATTTAACTTGAAGTGCTGGGTTTGTTTTCCGGGCAGTCTCTCACAAAGTGGCCTAGCTTGTGACACTTAAAACATTTATCACCCGGTTTGGGTCCTCGACCACCCCTGCCATCTTTGCCCTTGAAACTCCCATACATGTTGGCTCTTGAGGCCTTACTCTTGCTAGCGCCCCCCCTGGGCATTTTGCCCTGGAATTTGACGAACTGAGCTATGTCCTTGACAACCTGTTTGACCAAGCCGCTCCCAAACTGATTTACTATGAGCTGCTTGAAAAAATCCTCATCAACCAGCGGTTTGATCTGGTCTAGTATGACTGAATACTCTTGTGCCTTAACGTGGCCCTCCCTACGTGCCTGGGCCACCAGCGCTTCCACAAGGGCCAGGGCTCTGTGTGGGTCGAAAGCCGCTTCTGGACGCCCCGCAAACTGCACCAGTTCCTCCCTGATGTCATCCGTGGTGCGCCCCTGCTTCATGGCGCCGATCTGCTTTTTGAGTTCCTGGACTTCCTGCAGGAGCGTTGCCATAACCTGCATAAACGACACCACAAATACAATTAATGTGTGTCATGCACATGCAAACTGCAACCTCAAACGCATACGCTCACACACCACACGTGTAAGCAACTTCCTATAAAGCGTTTGCGAGCCAATGTACTTTTATACCGACCGCTCCATACACCCCAGGCGTACAGCGATCCGTACATCTCGGCTCCGCGTGCCAATCACGCTCACCACGCGATACCCCAGCGTTAACTCATTAAACGCCTTACCGCTTTGTGACACATTGCCGGGCGCCTCGCCCTAAACGTAAGCTACACGATGGATAAAACCATCCGCACACCCGGTGTACTCGTAGCTCACTACTTTAATACCGCTTTGTGACACATTGCCGGGCGCCTCGCCCTAAACGTGAGCTACACGATGGATAAAACCATCCGCACACCCGGTGTACTCGTAGCTCACCACGGGAGTAATTAGGTTTCCACATTAGGAGACCACGTGCACACCCGCGCCTCCAGGTGGGAATGTGCGCCCTGTGCAATCAATTCTGCACGTGCGCCATTCCCCCTGCATTACAAAATTTGCATACGAATCCAACCAAAGGTTCTACGTACAAGACAATGTAAAATTGAAACCAGGCTACCAACACGACCAACATACATTTACCAAACTCACACGAGGTAAAATAGTCACGTACAAGGTAGCAACAAACGCCATTATCCAAATTCAGAAAATGCAGAAATTCCGATTGTAAGGGCAGTACTCCTTACCGACTGTGCCGCCTGGGGCTGCCCTGCCGCCGGTCCCGGCTGCGGGTCCGCTGGAGCCTGCGCCGCTGTAGCTTGCTCCTGCCGAGCGGCTTGTTGTCCCTGCGGCGCTGCTTGTTGTCCCTGCGGCGCTGCTTGTTGTCCCTGCGGCACGGCCTGTTTTCCCTGCGGCACGGCCTGTTGTCCCTGCGGCACGGCCTGTTGCCCCTGCGGCACGGCCTGTTGTCCCTGCGGCACGACCTGTTGTCCCTGCGGCACGGCCTGTTGTCCCTGCGGCACGGCCTGTTGTCCCTGCGGCACGGCCCGTTGTCCCTGCGGCACGGCCTGTTGTCCCTGCGGCACCGTGGCCTGTTGCCCCTGCGGCGCGTCCTGTTGTCCCTGCGTGTCTGGTGGCTGGACTTGCTCCACCCTTCCCTGCTCGGGTTGGCGCTGAACTTGTCCTCCGCCCCTCCTCGGCACGGAGTTCCCCGACGTACTGGGTCTCTGAGACATGTCTGACAACGGCAAAAACAATATCACCCGTTAGAGCTTGGACTCTCAACTAGCTCCCCCAACCCAAGCAAGGCTCCGCCACGCGAGGCAGTCTTTCCAAGTCGTGGAACGCTTCGGGAAACCTAACTCGAGCCTTCCTCCCCGTTGAGAACATTAACAATCCATACCACCCCACACAATCCCACAAATGAGAAACAAGCATGAACATGTAAATGCAAAGTCTCAGGTGTGTTTACCGCCTCTAACCGTAAAACAAACGGAGAAACCAAGGCGCACAAAGACGCACAAAATACTTGTAAAACCCGTCCTAAACGGGAAAGCTTTACCACTGCCACACCCAAACCTTTTAGAGGCGACTTGTTCAAGTTCCGAACTCGGCGTAGTACTGCACGTGGGCTACTGCTAGCCGACGAGACTGCCCTGCGATGCTGGTGTGGCGATGTCTCCGAATGAAAGGACAGAATGGAGTGCGCGCGCGCCTTATAAGGGGTTGGTGTGTGACGTCATTTCGGATGACCAATCACTATGCAGTGAAGATAGGGGTCCCAGGGAGTCTCTGTTAAGAGCAGCTGCCTCGCCAGGTGGCACCTGTCCAACAACAGCTGCAGGGCGTCACCTGATTCACGCATGCGCATGACGTCACGACGCATCTGGCGAGACTACGCTACATCTGCGAAAGCGGGCACGTAAAATGGTTTAACGGTACACTTCAGCCCCGTGTAGTGATTTTGGGGCCTAAAGAAGGGTAATTTGAAGTACGGAAATATTTTGGAAGGCAGCTGTGCTGTATACTGTTGCCTCACAGAAACGGAATGTGGCACCTGTGTCAGATCAGCTGTAGGAAGTAGCTGAATTAGACAATAACTAGCGTCCTATATATACAGGAGTGATTCCAAGCTGGGGTAAAAAGGTCTCCATCATGGGGGGGGGGTGAAATAAAAGAAAGGGGGGAGGGAGAAAAGAAAGGAAAGTGAAAAACTGCTTTTACATCATACTTAAGCACTGAAAACAATGCAAAAAGCATAAAAAAGCATGAAAGAATTTTACAAACCAATCAATAATATAAAATAATAACTTTTTAAAAATTGTTGTCATTAAAACAAAAGTACAGACTTTAAGTTGTGAAATTTCGAAAAATGTTCTGAGGAGCTGAACGGCACACAGAGGGTTTGTCCCGAGGCATGTGGCCATGCCAGCTACTAGTCAGGTAGCCCCACTTGGTCAGGTTTTGGAACCCCTGGCTTAGTTCAGTCCTGCTTCCTTTTTTATATTTCAGTCCATACCATGGTATGGATGAAATATATTGTGTTCTCTCATGTTTCTCCTCCTCCTCCTTCTCCTCCTGCCAAACAGTCAAAGGGATTCATCTCCGCCATCATTCAGCCAAATGACCTGAAATTTGGCATGGAGGTAGAGTGGACAAATACCCCCAGACGTTTTTTTCATTTTTTTGAAACATGCCTTTGAAAAATTTTTATGAAGGTTTTTTGGGGCATTTTTCGACAAAAAATGGATTTTTGGATCCTGAGCCCTGGTATTACAACCAAATGATATGACATTCGGTATAAGGGTACCTTGAACGTGTGTCTACAGAATAGCAGTCATGTATTTGGCATACACCACTTCCAAATGACTCATTTGGGGGGACTTTAATGGCTATTTTCAGCAAAAAAAAGGGCCAAAAGTGCTGTACCCATTCCATGTTCTATCTAAAGAATGGCCGGTTCCATCCATGGAACACGTGTTCCATGGAACACGTGTTCCATTGCAGGTTACCTGAGGTCACATTGCACGTAAGTCGTGCCTAATGACCCACACATTCAATTTTATGTGCCTTAGACCTTCAAAATGTATCAAATCTCATCATTGTTAGTTTTTGCATACACCTGTACCTGTAATAAGATTAGTAAAGCTTTCGAGATTCAAAGTACTTGTTGTTGCATCTTTGTTCTCATATATAGCTACTGTTTAATTCAGTTATTTGAGAACCTTTGCCAGTTTTGCACTTGGGTAAGTTTGGAATAGTCCACTTTTGCGTGGGAGGGAGATGGACTGAAATATGCTGTATTTGCTCCCAAGCAAATGTCGGCCTTTCTA